TCGGGTTGCGAACAAATCGGGTTGCGACCGGAGTCACCGAACGGATTAAATTCGTAACCCGAGGTACCACTGTAATTTGTTTCAAGACAATGAAACACAATTTGAATCCATGGCTTGGTATGACATCTGCAGTGCTTTTGCTGGTAAGGGCCATACCAGCGATTAGTATTAAACCATGCTTAGTATGCAAAAGTACCCAATTCGTACTTGCTCACCACATCTTTTTAAAAATAAAGTGCAGCTTAATGTGGAGTTTGAATACATCTTGACATGTACATGGAATTTTTAACACTAGGAGGTAGGGTAGCGTGTTTAATGCTTGAAGCCTATTGAATTGTGAATTGTCAGTTGCTTGGGATGGGAAAAAAGAAAACAGAAATAAAGAGAGAAATATTCTTGAATCATTAATGACGTGTATGACCCAGCTGTAAGCATAAGTAACAGTGTATACCATAAGGCTAAAATATGTGGCTTGTGTTTCACCTGGATACACAGGAATAAAATAAACACCAGATTAAATTGTTCACTGTATTTTGCAAAGGGAATTCTCTCTTACATGGGCATGGATGAATGACAGAGGGGAAATAATTTGCTAACACATTTCTAAATTAAGATGACTGCAGATTTGTTTGGTTGGAAAGGAATTCCTCCTCTTCCCTCCATTCTTTAACTTTTCTTTCTCCATTTAAATGGTAATTATACACTGATAATGCATTGCATGTGTCCCTCGCTCTAGCTGCAGGCCTTTGGGGAAAAGGGAAGCAGTAGCATTTTGAAAGCGGACTGCTCAATTTGAGTGGTTTCTTTGTGCAAGGATTTGTCAGTTTTTTCCCATTTATTCTTGGATGAATATACTTTGCCCAAATTCTACTTACATTGCTAAATGAATCTGAGAATTCATTATTTTTTCACCATGGTAATTTTTAAAAGATATATCTGTTATTCATTTGCTACAATTTTGTATATCTAGAAGAAAAACATAATGGGTTTCCATTACTGTCTTTAGACTGAAAGTCCTGCTACAGAATAGAGTGAGCAAAAAGATGTATCATATGTTATTGGTGGACTACAGTTCAGCTTTTACTCTCAAAGGCCACAGTTTTCTCAACATTTTGGGAGTTACAGTCCCAAAACATTTGCAGGGATCCAGGCTGGGAATGGCTAGAAGGAGCGAAGAAGGATTCCAGCCTTAAGTTCTGCAGTCTCACAAGTTTTCAAAGCAAATGATTTTCCACATGAAATATTCTTCTGTAAAAGAGGATTCAGGACTGACACTGAAAACAGCAGCCTTGGGATTGAAAGAGATTCATATAAAATATTGGTACAGGTAGCCCTTGAGTTACGACAGCAATTGGGACCAGAATTTCCATTGCTAAATGATGCAGTCATAAAGTGTGATGTCATGTGACTGCATCGTTTACTGACAGCAATCCCTGCAGTACCCATGACTGTTGTTAAGTGAGGCTCGTGAGTCATTAAGCGAGCACCTCCTTGCAACTTCCTGCCAGGTTTCAACAACCAAAGTCAGTGGGGAAGCTGGCAGGAAGTTGCAAGTCCCAGGTGGTTTGCAAACTGGCTGGCTGGCAAGCAGGTAAATGGCGGCTGCTGCTGGGTGGGGAAGGATGCGTGAGTGGCAAGGGAGGCATGGTGCAATATCAGTGAGGCCTGGTGTGGATGCACAAGTGGCTGAGGGAGGGTGCATGGGTGGGGGAGGCTTACCCGAGCAACTTGTGACCTTCCTGCCCAGCTTCCCCATTGACTTTGCTTGTGGGAAGCTGGCAGGAAAGGTTGCAAATCATGATCACGTGACTGTGGGACACTGCAACCGTCATAAGTGTGAGCCAACTGCCAAGTGCCCAAATCGTGATCACATGACTGCAGGGGTGCTGGAACAGCAGGAACTGCAAGGAACCAGTGCCATCATAACTTCAAGCGGTTGCTGAATGACTGTTTGTTAACTGAGGACTACCTGTACATTAAGTATTTCCCCATTTCCATTTCCCATTATTATTTCCACTGGAAACACTACAATGACATAAGACAAGTTGAAAGGAATATTATTATAGTAGGATTGACAAAATTGACATGAGATTGTTGTTTTTAATAGCAATCTCATATTTCTAGAGATTCCCCCTTAAACATTAATGCTGTCTTTTCCGTGGACGTTTTCCCTTTTTAGGGTTGCTTATAGTTGCATGCATTCTATCATGACTTTCTTTAATAATAGCAGTAATCTTGTGTCTTAAATTGTTTTGCAAAATTATGCAATTTATAATGAGGCATATTAATAGGATACCATCTTTGGTATTTCAGGCACTTGTATGTTTGTACTTGTATATTTGAACATCAGAACCAAGTTTACTGCATGGCTGTTCACTGCAATTATCTCTGTAACCTACTGATCAAATTCTGGTTCCCCCATCTCAGCCTCCTGTATATTACAATCTGTAAATCTTGTTTGTCCTTGGCATTAAAGATAAGACATCCTAGTGCAACAGAAGTACTCCATAAATGCTCTTCCTGTATTGCTCTATGATTGCCCTTTAAAATGTATTGATACTGCCATTGTTCTCCTTATCCTTCAGTGCCATAAATTGTTATGTAAGCACCATATGCCAATCTCAATTGCTCACTTAACTGGTGAGCAATCTAGTTAGTGTATACACAGGGAGACTTCTTTCTGTCTGGGGAGCGCTCTGCCTTGATTAAAATTTTTGATGGATGATGAATGACTTACGCCTTGAATTAACTTGAAGGGTGGTTTGAAGGCTTCTAGACTTTAATTGGCTATTAGGATTTAGCATTTTTTACAGTTTAATACACAGATGTCCATTTTTTTCTTTCAGCGGTCTTGAGCTGAGCTACTTTTAGTAGGGACTAAAGATCTGTTTATGAAAATATCCTCTGAGGTGCTGTTCATATTTCTAGTAGCAAAACAGTCAAATTAAGTTTGTGTATGATAACAAAATCTTTTAAATGGGATAAATTTGTGCTGTAATAATCAGTATCTCTGTTACTGGGCATTAGTTAATTATGACCTCATTTCTATTTATTTTATTTATGTGTTCAATTTATAAGCTACATAAATAGTCCAAGCAATTTTAGGCAATGTACAATATATTGAAATAAAACAAGGAGTAAACATAATAAACAATCAAAAACTATAGTGCTATATTGAGGATGGAGATGCCAACAGCTAGGAATAAAATCCTGATATCAGTTCAGGATCCCAAAGTGCTTGTTCCAGAGCCTGTTGAAAGAACCACATTTTAAGGGCTTTCCTAAACAACAACAGGTTAGGGCTGTGCAGACTTTAGGAGAAGGGATACTATCCCATAGGGCAAGCATGTCCACAGAAAAGGGATATCTATGAACCCCCACAAGACAATTGTTTAATGATGGGACAAGGATCATGCCCACTTCATTAGATCTAATAGGGTAGGCAGACATAACTGAAGAGAGGTGGTCCCACAGATAAGCAGGACCTGAAATATGAAAGGTTTCATAGATGATGACCAGCACCTTGAATTTCACCCAGAAGCCCATTGGCAATCAGAGCAGCTGAACTGAAGTGTGCTCATAACCACTTACATCACTGCATTCTAGACCAACTGTATCTTCTGAATGGTTTTCAAAGGCAGCCCTGGGTAGAGTGCATTGCAAAAGTTCAACCGTGAAGTGACTAAAGCATGAGTGACCATGAGGAGGGCCTCCCAATCCCAGAAAGGATATAATTGGGGCCAAAATGGATCTGTGGAAAAAACCCTTCTGACTGCAGCTGCTACCTGCTCTTTGAGCAAGAGCCACAAGTCTAGAAGCCCCAAATATGCAGTAGTTCCATCTGGGGAAGTGCAATTCCATCAAGAACTAAAGTTGGATAGTTTCTGGAAATGGGGGACCCTTGAATTCACAGCCATTCAGTCTAGCTAGGGTTGACCCTGAGCTTGTTCCTCCCCTTTCAGACACTAACAGCTAGGTACTGAGACAGGACCTTGATAACATCTGGTCAGCCAGGATTCAAGATGGTGGGTTATCATCTGCATATGAATGAAACCTGACTCAATGCTTCCAGATGTAGATATTATGTAGGAATGGGGAGAGCATCAAGCCACAAGGAAGCCTGCAAAGAAGGGGTATCAGGCTTGATTCTCCCTCCACCATCTGGAAATGACCTGGACTCCTGGAGAAAGGAGGAGATATACTGCAAGACAGTATTGCCACCTCCAATTTTAAAGGTAAGCCAGAAGGATACCATGATCATAGCATTGATGGTCACACACAGATGAAGCAGGACCTGGAGAGTTACACCACTTCTATCTCAGTCCTGTGAGAGGTTGTCAACAAGCACATTCTGTTTGCAGTTAGAACTAAGCAAACCTGTTTGTATTCTTAAAGAAATGGGATGTTCCATTCTTAATAGTTCTAAGAACTATTCAGCAAAGGGCAATTCTGGAATCTGTACCTTAATACTCTCTTGTAATTTTTTCCAGGTCTCCTCCAGGATTCTGACCACCCTTACAGCAGATATGAGAATGAATGAAAAATAACACTACTGCCTTAAAGAAAACAAAATGTTAATCATCAAATTTGTACATAAATGTTCAGTAGAACATAATGTTTCTTTTGCCTTTTTTCTCCTCCTTTTGGAAACAGCATTCTTATATTTGCATCTAATGGTTCTAGTTTAAAATGCCTCAGGGTTTTTTTTCCCCTACAGATTTTTTTTAGAGGAGTGCAAGTTGAGGTACAGAAACAGTTTACTTTTGCTTAAACACCACAGACTTTATGAAACAACGATACCGTCATCTTTTCCATGTTGCTAAATAAAGAGGCTCTTTAAATCTGTGTCAAGTAAGTGTTGGCAAGTATTTGACACTGCAGAGGTGAGGTAGCACATAATCATAGCTTATACCATCTTCCTGACTGTTAATAGAATACAAAGGGTGTAAGTGAAAGAAACTGACACTAGGCAGTGGCCTTAACTGAATGAGTGTGATCTGGTGCTCCTGGCTAGCCAGCACCCTCAGCACCATCTTGAGTCCTTGAATATGTCCTCTTAATGTCTACAGCCTGCCACTGTCTCATGCTAAGTGCTTTTTCCACTTTTCTTTAAACATTTCAGTTACATTGGATTGTCTGTACAGATCCTGATCCATAGTACTTAAGGAGACATGGTTGAAATGTGTATCTGTAGTATGAACACTTGACTTTAAAAAAGATGGCAAAAATCTGCAGTATTGTAACAAAAACCTGTTAGCTATATAAGCATGTGTTTGAGCTTTTCATTGCTATTTCTGTACATTCCTAGATTTATGTTGAAAAGTTCTTGATTCATTCCTCAAGCAATTACCCATTTATTCACTTTTTCTAATAATGTATAAGATTCTTTTGTATATATTTCTCTGTATGTATATCATCATTCCTAACATTTACCGAAGTGGATAGTTGCAATATATTGTTATAATCAAAATAGAGCCACTCAGTAGTCGCTATTAACTAGGACTGTACAGCGCTTCATACTTGAGAAAAAGGTGCTTTGGGGCTCATGGAGGTTCTTGCTCAGAGCTCCTCAGACCAGCTGTGTCTTTTGTTGGGATCATGCAGCAACCCTCCACGGCTGCATGAGGATTCCAGGATGGATCTTTTTGCTCTAAAGAAAAGTTAAGGTAGGTGTGACATACGCATCCATGTGCACTCCAAAGTGCATTTTTCCTTTCACATCCAAAGCACAGCATAACCTTACTACTAACATATTCCAGTAGTTCGAACTACTTTAAGAAGCAGGGAAGAAAGATGGTCTAACAAGGACAGGTTGCTTCATAGTGAATATTGCATGGCAATTTGAAAAAGAAAAATGGCAGGGAAGTGGAGTGGATTCAATAGAATAGTTTCTCTTTCAGGAGAGTATGCTATAACATTTTACTGTAGGTACCATTGTTCCTCTGTATTTAACAAGCCTATATACTTCGTTGTGTTATGCAGCAAAGGTTCTCTAAGTAAATCTGAAAACTAGGGCTTAGTTTTTGCATCCTTAGTAGTCAGAATCCTATATTCATTATGGAGAGGTAATTTTCAGGAATACCTCATCACAGTTTTCCCATCTCAAATTTGCCTTGCACAGTTGATAGACTTTCAGAAATAGTGTGAAAAATAGCATGTTAAGCTAAAGGAAGGGCAGTCTTGTTCCGTTGATAGAAGCCTTCACCAAATCAAATACAGTACAAGGCCATCAGTGAGACATTATCCATTAATTGTATATTTCCACATTGATGCAACAGCCTCTTAAGCTAGAGCAACAGACCATTACTGGTTTATCAGTTTTTTGAAAAAGTTCAAGTAGAAACAACCCAACTGTGGTTTGCAAACCCATTTCAAACAACGTTGGTTGGTTGGTTTATCTTTAAGCTCATGTAAACCAGGCAGTTTTTTTGTGATTCACGATTTGTGAGAACATACCACTTTGGATACTATTTCTGTAGCGAGTTCTCACTGGAGATACCTTGTGAATATGGAAGCTGAATATGCTGTGGAAAGTTTTTTTTTTTTTTTGTATTTGATCTGTACAGTTAATTAGACTGCTAGCAACTTGTCTTAGGTATCTAATGGATGGGCATTTACTTGAGCCTATTTTGTGAATGATTACTGTGAAGAAGTAATTGCACCTTCTGCTTTTCATTTCCATTTTAGCCTTGCTGTTTAATATTCCCCCTTCCGTGGACAACCATCAGTATAGATTTATATCAGGATAATTGTGCATCCAGCATGGATGGCAGACCATGGAAACTTTGCCTCAATAAATTTGGTAGATTTCAAGATGCCATAAAGCTTCAGTTTTTGTACCTAGATGTGATAGTATCACATGTACAGCTAGAGGTTATCTTTTCATTGTTTTCTATTTCACATGAATACTGCATTGGTTTAAAAAAATCTCTTAATATGTTGTATTTGATTTTAATTGGTTGTTTTCATGTTTTACCTTGTATAATTTTGTAGTTTATATTTTGTTATGTGTGGAAAGGTAGATTATCAATATAATAAACAACAAATTAAGGGTGTGGTCCTGCCTATGTTTATGTGAAATCAGTTGACTGAATCCTGGATTCTGTTTCACCTATGAAAGGTTTTTCAACTGCAGAACCAAAACAACTCACATCTGTAGAGGTTTCTGCTGAAAGAAAGATGTGGAGAAGGAATTTTGACTGATTCTACCTTCAGCAACCTTTTATACCACCTCTGCCCCCACAGTGAAGTGTCCCCAATCCTGTGGAACCCATCACCCTTTCATCAATTTGCAGTTTCTTCCATGTTAATATATTTTGTGTCACAGTAGTTACAAAAAATATTCTAAAATACAGAACCCCTGCAGAGAATAGAGAAAGGCTATTTTGGAAAGAGAACACAAAATATACTTCAATATTGAGAAATGCTTCCTGTATATAAATGATTTAAGAGCTTCTTATGGAGGAAAAATAGCTAATATATTATCAAGCAATGATAATACTTTGTGTTTTGAATTGTTGCATAAGCTAATGTCGCTTGGGGGAAGATGGGGATGTTGAGTTTCCAAGTCAGACAAAAATAGCATGTGCAATTTGGTTAAGGGCACAGTTTTGTCTCTATCAACTGAGTTACAGCAGCTAGGATTAATATGTTACAAAGATGGGAAAATGATGGCTTAGATGTTTTTTAATTTGTTTCAGAGTCTACATTTACAAGACACAAACTAGCAATTAGCTATGTAATACTGTATTGTCTTACTCATTTCTTGCTGTGTATCTGATCCTTGCTGAGCAGCACACGAACAGCATGGAGAAATAGTTATAGCTGTTCTTGCAGACACCATAAGAATTGTTTGGTACTGTCTTCTAAGTATTCCCTTCTGAATAAACGTGCACAAAATGGTGATTTACAAGAATTAGCATCTTATTTGTGGCCCATATACCTAGTTGCAATGTAATGTTTGAGTTCTTTCCCCAAATTGGAATTTTAAGAAGGCTATACTTTTTCTAATCACAGTTCCCTATGCCAAGTTCTCTAGAATTGTATCAAGGTTTAAGAGCACTAATGACCAAAGGCACCCATTTCCTGTAGTTCATGTCAGTGCATAAACAGCCTTTTCAGCACCCTTCCCCAAGTTGGTTTCCTAAGAAGATGCTCTTTCCTGTCGTGTCCTGTGCCTTCCTGGTGACTGCCTGAACAAATCTCTGCAGTTTTCTTGGCAGCATTTTTGGAAGTGGCTTGCCTTCTTCCTAGGGCTGAGAGAGTGACTGGTCCAAGGTCACCCAGCTGCTTTTGTGTTGGGCAGGATTAGAACTCATGGTCTCCCGGTTTCTAGCCTTGTGCCTTAACCACTACACCAAACGCTCTTGAGGAGATGTTAAAAACTTACATAATTCTTTCCCAGCGTGGTAACCTTTTCCAGGCATCTGGAAGGTGAGGGATTAGGAAAAGTTGTATTAGGAGCTACTAAGCATATTATTTTGCAGGAAGTATCTTGCTTGTATTTCAATATAGGGGTAAAAAATCTGAAAAACCTGGCAAGCAATTGCTAGCCAATATAAACAATGCAATGACCAATGGTTTAGCTGGACTAGTGGTCCAACTCAATATGCCAGTTCCATATTTTCACTCATCCTCCTTTTGGTGATATTGAAATATTTACCCCAAATTATAAGTCATTTTATTTACAGCAAGGGTGATCTGTGAGATTCATAAAACATGCAGAACAAAATATCAAGAAAAACTACAATCAGTTTTATTAAGGAAAAAAAATATTGACTGAATAAAACCATTCTTAAAAGGGCATAGCAACCTTTTTTATAAATAGTGACTTGGTCAGTTATCATTTGAGAGAAGCTTTTTGGAATGGAAGGTTCACTTATTTAGCTATTTTAGCAATAGCTCGAACAAGGAGAAAGAGGCAGGTTTAGAGTTAAATGTCTCAGAGTTTCCAAAATGACTTAGGTATTTTCCCAAACTTCTAATCTTCTGCTTACTCTAGTACATGTTAAAGACCAGATTATTTTTATCTGTTTCTTGTTACAACCCCGTTTTAAAATGGTCATTATATTTGCCTTCCCAAAATCTAGCATATCAGTCTTCATTACTCTCATCCTCAACCTAACTTGGTGAGCATGCCAATTAATAAACAACCAGCTGGTCTTCTGTGATCACTGCTTCTGACTCTGCTCACAATGATAGTCAGTATCTCCTCCACTTGCTACACATGACTGATACTTTTGTCAAATTTTGACAAAGTTCTGAATATCCAGTGCATTCAAAGAAATAGAATCTGCAACTCATTTCAGCACTTACTTCAGCTTTTGCAGATTCAAACTAAGTCAGTCTCGTTTGTAGTGAATGCATGCATGCTCTAATGTAAGGGTCACTATGCCCAAAATCCTATAAAGGATGAGTTCAACTTTGCATATTCGGAAAGACATAAAAGTTCCTTATACTTTTGTGCTCCTGTCTGTTATTTCAAGCTTCTGATATCACTCTGAATGCATTTCTTTGGGATAATAATCACTTAGATATGTAGTGATAATATATTGGTGTTGCATTTTCAGTGTGAAACCTGCTAGATGATCTAAGAATTTTAATGAATTTAATTGAAAAGTGAAAGCTAACTTGCTCTTTTCTTTGGACAAATTGTATGATGGCCCTGTTTGATCCAATCAGCCAGTCATCAGCATACCATCATGCTAACTGGATCAAAAGTCACCAGTTTGGAACTACTGGAGAAGAAATGTCCTGCTATCCCATAAGATCTTATACCAGGGTTTCATGACATCATGATACTCTTAAAAATCATCCTAACCCCCAAAGTGTTGGTCATTAAAAAACAAGCACACACACCCTTAAGATCTGTATTAGGCTAACACGAAGACTACAAAAATGTGAAAAGATCTGAGATCTCCATATCTCGCTATCAGCCAAATATTATAGCATTGGCCTTGTTTATACAGCAGCAATGAGCTGTTAACCCAGTTTAACACTGATGGTTCAAGCAGAACCCAATCATATTCCTGGGTCGAGAGCTGCCATTTTGGAGAATCCAGAATCCTCATCCACTTTCTCTAGTTCTTAATTTGAATCTGAGTTCTTACACCAAGACAATATGGACAAAACTTCAATGCATCATTGGCTATTATTCCACTGTCCTGACAGACACTGGCTGTATTCCCACAATATACTCAACTGAATTATGAAGAGGGGGCTACTGCATTGTGAGAAAAGGGAAGTGTAAATGATTGACATAGTCACATAGGGTTAAACAAAATTCACTCAGTTGTTCGCAGCAGCACAGAACACCTCTCACAGATACTGATAGGTTGCAGCATCCATGCAACACCTACTGCTGTCTGAGAGGCCAATAGGGAAGAGAATGTGAAAGATTTTTTTTTATTTTTTTGCATAAACATGATCGTTTCTAGGATTTTCCTTTGCAAATGTAAATTAAGTTTTAAGAAAGATGCAACTGTATTTGTATTGGAATAAACCTCTCTCCCCAAAATCGTGTTAGGTATTTCTAAAATAGAATCCCAAACTAGGTGCCCTCCTTTCCCTACAATGTTTTGTTTTCCCAGTGACATAGTTACATGGGAACAAAAACTCTTCAACCTCCTCCAAGTAGAATGTTGGGGCTATGCCTGAGTGCAAAGTGTCATCTGCCTGAATATATTAAGAATGGCATGGAAACTTAGTGACCTGCAAGAAATGGTCCGAGTTGCCTCTTTAGAGAAAGGGAGATCTGCTGCCTCTGCTTACAGCTCTGGAGAGCTTCTAGATCCATAATTCTACAAGGATTTAGGCAGGGCCAGTCCTACCTTTTGGTAGAATGACACTATTGCTTCAAGCAACCAATGCTGAAGTCGCTAGAGACTACAGGTAGTCTTCAGTTAATGACCCTTATTGTGGACCAGGAACTCTGTTGCTAAGTGACAAGGTTGTAAAGTGAAAGATCACATGGCTGTGCCGATTTGTGATGGCAGTTCCAGTTGTGGTCATTAAGCGAATCACAAGTGGTTGTTAAGCGTGACATCACATGATTGTGACTTGCCACTTCCTGCCAGCTTGACTTTGCTTATCTGAAGGTGGCAGGGAAGGTCACAAATGGCAATTGCGTGACCACGGGACATGGTCACGCTGTGACCATCATAATTGCATGCCAGTTGCCAAGCGCCCAAATTGTGACCACGAGGATGCTGCAAAGCCACAGTTTCAAGGACTGGCCATAAGTCTCCTCATTCAGTGCTATTGTAACTTCGAATGGTTGCTGAATAAGTGGTTGCTAAGCAAGGATTACTTGTACTTGATAACTTGCCTCTCTTGTACTCCCCAAATGATTCTGATGCTCTCAGTTGTAGCAGAAGCTGCCTTATTATGGAAGAGTCAGCTATCAATCTGTGTGATTTCAATAAGTAAAAAGAGGCAGCACTTTCTTGTCCTTTCCGATAATAAAATTTCTCATCTTGGAATCCAATTAGGAACAAATAGATCAAGACCAGCCAGCGTGATTCATTATTTATTTATTACATTGTCAATCCTTTCCTTTTTAAAGGTCTTCAGTTGAACATACAAATTTTCCTCGATGCTTCCCATTTTATGGTGATATCTAGTGAGGCAGGATAGGCCAAGAGGCAGTGATTCATCCAAGCTGACTCTGTGAGCTTCCTGGTAAAAAGCAGAGCAAGCAGGGTGACTCTCCCTGGGCCAATGCTACATTGCACTGGTCACGGAACATCACATGCTCCAAGTCAGTAAAAGCTGTGAGAAATGTAAGATTAGGAGAAGAGGGCTGGAGAACTCAAAGTGCATCTTATTTATTTTATTTCATTTCTTGCCTGCCATGATCCAGAGGATCTCATGGTAGGTTACATAATAAAACCAAGTAAAAAAATTAATAAACTAGTTAAAAACATACAGTTCAAAACAAACAAATAACAGATACAATGAGATACTAAAGGGACAAATGTACCTCTGTAATCTAGCATCCAAATGTGTTCTGAGGCATTAGTCCTTTTTTTTGGAATTTAGTTTCTGTAGAGATTAA